TCTTTGCCTGCGACTGCTCAAGATTTGATGACTTGCATTTTTGGGACTGGTATGTTGCTCACGGGTCTCCAACAGTCGGCTAATATTTTGTTCCTTGAAGAAGCGGTTGGGAATACCGGCAAGCGGCACATTACCTGAGGGAGACTGGACACAGTCCGTCGCAACTGGTGGTTTACGATGTTTTGAAGCACATCAGCTGTGCCCGCACTTGATTAAAAGTGACACGCAAATTTTCAGCACGGTCAATTGATTTAAAATGTTTCCAAAATTTCGGTTTGAGTCCTTTTTGAAAACAAATGTAATTGAATTTATTTACCGTAGGTTGAGGCTCGCGTAGCCTGACTTTTGTTCCACAGAGGTTTTCTCATTTCACTCCAGATTTACTTTCAATTCCGATCACCAAGTGTAGAGTTTGTCAAGATTTTAAATCTGTCTGGATCAACACTGACGTTTGGTTAACTGAGGTTCGATCACCACTTTTTACACCCGTTTGCTGATTCTTCTGAGGGTCTTTAAGTGGGTCGAAAAACCTGGAAGAGTTGATTTACATGGGGGTCCATAAGGTAGCCGATTTTAAAGCGGAAGTTCAAACAATCAGCGAAGTGTTCCAACTCGACCGGTACAGATGGGTCGAAGAAATGATCATAATTTAAAAAAAAACAAGTAATGCAATATAAGCAGAATTGATTTTGGCCATCAACTTAGTGAGCTCTCAATCAGTTATTTAGGCACAATAAATAGGTCAGAATATTATAAGAATAATACCATATATGAACATTTATATGTATTCAGGAGGAAAAAGATAGATGTAACTGTAGGTGACTTAGTCGCTGGATCTGTCTACGTTTGGCAGAAGTAGTGAGTTGACTTTCCTGTAAATGAAGATCGGCTTCGCAGCAGAATAAGTGGACTCAACAGTAGTTTAAAAGCGATGACCGAGGCGTGTAATTACTTCGTCTGTTTTAAATAAAACACTAATGAAGACTAGTTTCTTTTCTACCATAGCGTACGATCGCGGGTGGTTGGATGGTGTAATAAGTTTCTCTAATAAAGAGAATGAACAACCTTTAGTTGGAAAAGCGTTCTTCAGTAATCTAAGTTTACGTCCCAACACTTCCGTAATACACAGGCGACGAAATCTGTACACCAGAGTTCTTTACAATCAAATATTGTAACGCAGAGGATAAAAAACTTTGGAAGCGTGAATAATGGCCCAAATCGCTAATTCGGTCAAAAATAGATTCCACGAATCAGTCATCTACAGTTATATCTTTCTTTTTCAGTATACTGGCAGTTTGCGGTAAGTCGTTTGTCGTTCGCCGTTTGTTGACCAGTATGAATGAGAATACTCCAAAAATTGTCACTTCGAAGGGGAAAACCTTCCTGCAGGTTTGGTGGCACGACAGTTGCTGGATAACGGACTCAGAGTTTTCCGTGTTGTCCTCAAAATTTGAGGCCCGATAATGGTTAGGTTCTCCGAAGCGGTTTTCATTAGCCGTTTAAAGCCTGACCTAAGCATGAAAATGCCTTTGTGATGCAGTTGTTGTTATCGTGGTAATTCCCTTTCCTTCCCCTCATCTCAGCCGTTCCCCTACCTCATCATTGACTTTTCATCCTTTTCATTTACATATTACATTGTTACTTTTCTACGTCGAATTCTAATTCATTTCTGGTTGTATCCTATTGACAATTTTCAACTCTCCTCTACGGTTAATCGTTGTAATTATTATGCTCCTCCACGTTCACCCATTTATAAATGAATTTAATAACAACTAAACATCCAATTTCTTTCTGCTTTTACCCATCTTATTATGTAAATGTTCATATATGGTATTTTCTTATAACATTCCAACTTATTCCTTTTTTTCCCTATATAGCTGATTGAGAGCAAGTAAATTTGATGGACAATATCAATTCTGCTTATAGCGTGTTACTAGCTTTATTCAAATGGATCATATGGAGTAGATGTTTCGGATCGAAAGTTGTACACGGGACCACTTCTCTCATTGATGCCAAGTTGGTCGGGCCGTACACCCTATGAAAAATTTTCCGGCTGTTTCACCGTGCCAGTGAGTAGAGTATGGCAAGACGCTTAGGATAATTTGAATAGATCTCACCATAGGGTCACTCTTTCGGGCAGCAAACAGATCAGGATTGTTCGAAAACGAAAGGTCAAGCTGTGCGTTTCCTCCTGTGGTGGAGGGGGGGGAGTTTTACAAGATTAGAATAGTGAGAAATATCAAGGTATGAACACCGGTATGGTTAAAAACTACCACTAATGACAGAAAAGGCGCGTTCAGTGTAATTAAAAATTTCGGAGGGATTATCATTGAGGAAACGGGTTTACACTCAATCGAAATGCATGCAATATGACCTACATTGTAAGTAAAGACAGTCATTGTAAAGTTACACCAATAAGATGTGTTGTTGGTTATCTGACGACAACCACCACGGTTTTGTAGTACATAGTTTCTGTCAAACGGATGCATATTAAAGAAATCTAGCTCAACCAAAAAGTCCTTTATATCAAGATACAACTATGTTTCTTGCAACATAATTATCCTCAATGCCTAATTTGTTATCCTTATTACTTCGTAAATTCTCTCATTTTTCAGAATAGTGATCATTCGACTGATGAGTGAATGGCGGGCATATGCATTTTCTATGGTTTTATCTTGTTTGAAGCTACTTGCTAGCCCCTCGATGCTTTCGAGGAAACCTGACATTGAATGGTTTCAATTTTTGTATCTAGTTTTAACTTGACGATTAGACTGATAAAGAATACCCCTTTTGCACGATAACACTTGAATTGTTTTGAATTGTTAACATATACTGGGGCTTAGGTTATTATGGAAGTGATGAGAGAAATTTAGTTCTAACAAATTATTCGAATAAACTTTGATAAATTATCCACTGAAGCACAAATGTAACGCGGCCACATTTTGAAAGGCCCACCGAACGCCACCAATTCTCGGAACCATTGTAGAAATATGGGTCCCCGAATATTTACACCAAAAATACAGTGTTAAAATGTCTGACGGGCATGCAAAAGCATATTTCTAAGTAACCAGTTGAATCAAACCTCTCATTAGTATTTCTAACAGGAATGGTGCAGCATACGCCTTGGCAATCACTGCTACGGAATCGAAAGACTTAGGATCGGCGCTTTCTTCGATTTCAGTTTGTTGGTAACTCTGAACGGTAACCAAAATGCAGCAAAGAATAAGGAAGTAACTGAGTGTTTCCTTTTATTGCTCTTCTTTCATTTCCTACTTGAAACCAACTGGGAACCTAAGGAGAGTTTTGGCCAGACAAGTATATCGGTGTGTCAAAACCCAGTTCTCCCGTTGGTCACCCTGAAGACTCATTTGAATCTAGCGCGGGAAAATGCAAGCACAAGAATTTCCAAAATGCTGGTCCAAAGTATGCGCGAAGTGTGTGTGTGCATTGATGTTTCGTGGAGAAGTGACGACCAGCAAGGTGAACGAATAAACCTTAGTGTTAAAGTGTACCTATATTTCTATAATAATGTTTTAATGTATTAATACAAACTAATCTAATTTCTGAGTATTTTACATGTGATTCATTGTTGAATTACTGAGCAATTCATAAATTTGACTACTGTGATATTCTAATTGTTGGGGCTAGATAAAAGTGTTGAAGTGTCACAAGACTGTTGCTGCGTTCTGTATAGGCTGATGCCCACTGAGAACCGTCCGAAAATCTGGTCCTCCAATTTTGTTCATGGGTGCGTTGAATACTAGGAACGGTTAGTTGGACCTGCACGTGATTTTTCGGGGTTACAGAGCTTTACCCTTAACGCTGAGTACAATTCAACCTATTTATTTATCCAAAATTGCATCACTACCTGTTCATGAGTGATCAATAGATGAAGTAAAGGCAACGGGATTTTCGGGGCGAGAATTCAGAACGTGCATCTTTTTCAATCGCTACTTTCCATTCCCAGCTGTTCTGTGTTGCTTACTCGGGTGCATTCGCAATGTTTTTACTTTAAAAGTGTCCCGTAATTCGGCATACGTTGCGAGACATTTGCAAATGATTTAGTTTCCAGTTTTAAGGAAACCAAAATATCTCACAGTTAAATTGGCCATTGACAGCTCTTCCTTTCTTTCAATTACTGTCCCCAACGGTTGTTAAACTGCTGGATCAAACAAAAACGAGTGTCAAAAATAAAAACCCTGATATTGTTATCTTCCCTGTATAGGGAAGGTTATGCTAAAGAATGTGATCTGTCAATTCTTTTCAAGCCTTAACTAATCGGCAGCTAATTGATCCTATTCGGAAGCAAGTTACCAACGGACCGTAAATCTCGAGTTTGTCTCTCCTGGGAAAAAGCCTGCTCACAAAACACAGTTTATGCAAAAAGAGATTATTTCTTTCTTTACAACTTCATATCTGGCTGAGCAAAGTATTTGAAAAGAACAAAAATTTAGGAATTCCAAATTCACTATTGACGGTTGAAAAGAAACTGAGAATAATAGATCTGGTGCAGCCCAGCCTGGTGTCTCGTTTACTTTACTGAATAGATTTTCTCAACATTCGTTCGGCACATGCTTGTTAAATGAACCGATAACATCGGCAACTGGAAAAGCATTCCATTGAAAATCCCCTGTCGCCGTTTTTTGATGGTGACTGTAATTGGCACTAAGGGTTGAAATCGAAGCAACAGGTCCCTTTGTGATTATTAGTCACTGTACATCTATCATTTAGTCTAGACGGGATAACTTAGAACAACAATGTTTATATATCCCTGGATCGTTTGTTTAGTATAAATGTACCTTTTAAGAGGTTCACCTAATGACGACTAAATCAGACTGCATGTTCTACAACAAGGTAGTTCACTATGCAGTCATGTTTTAAAATATTACCTCTTTCGCAGTCGTATATTTCATTCAAGTTCCGTTTTCCACAAAAATTGTTTTCAGATGATTTTATTCACAACAGTTCTGCTGTTGATATCAATCGAAGCACATGTCAAAATGAACCGATTTGGAAAGATCAAGTGTGAATACACTCCAGATGTGACCAAGTATGAGGCAGAATGTTTCTTCTTGGGCAGTGTGACAGAGGTTCCGTTTTTCCGAATCGTCACTCATTCCGCGGACTGGTCAAAAGAGCATGACCCAAAATTGACACTGGTGGCGGAACAGACCTGTTGCTACCATATGCACATGCACACATCGTGGAATATGGCTGACGAGGCTTTGTCATCTGTGAGTTGCGTCCGTCATACAGTTTGATTATTTGTGATCGGTATGAAGAAGAAAAAGTTACTGCATCATTTGAGGTTCCCGTGGAACGGTATAAGCATTATTCCTAGCTGTTCACCTTCCAATAGATATGTATTTCCTTCTCTCATGTGTACACAGCACACCTGTAGCTCATCACCATAACAATGTCATGCATTAGTTTCGGCAACTGTAGTCATATTGTACTCTCAAAACCTAGTAATGTTACCGTGAATTTTTGAATTAAACTTCACAAAGTATGTTAGTGAAAAATGAAGCATAGCAATAACAATAAAAATACAAATAATGGTAACCGTAAAATAAGAACATGTTTTAGGTGAACATTTGGTTGCATCAACTCATTCTGAGGACACCATAATGTCATACCTGGGATGATTTCCGGTGGATCGCTCTTCTCCTGCACACATCACACCACCAAGTCAGGACTTGCATACAGGTTACGGGCTGACCTGCCACATACCTACCTGGCTTGATTGATAATTGCTTTCGGTTGGAGTTAACAGGTTGTACCTGTGACTCCCTTCGCTGCTATTGGACCAAGTGAACTGACTGACTATCACTGAAGACAACACATGAACAAACACAAATTGGCAATTTGGTTGAGCCAGGGCATGAGCTGGTTAGCACAGTGATAACACACACGCCTTCCATGCGATGGGTCCGGAGTTCAAATCCCGGACGGGACGGTGCATATACACTACTGATGAACTCTAACAAAAGCGAAACTCGAGTCTGGTGCTTCTGAGTGTATAGTTGAACCGTTGAACTGAGGATTGTGCGTGACGGTGAAGTTCGAAGGATAGTCAGTCAAATCAATCAGCACTAGATAAATGGTTCTTAAATTATATCACAAAATATGTTCTCGGATTTTTCTGTTATTCTGTTTGATAATTGTGGAAGCAGCTGTTTTCCATATAGCGACACTTCTACATAACAAAGTCATATATTTTCATGTTCTGCAGGTAGCAGCCATTTTCCAGGATTCTCGTGGAATCGTTTACGGAACCGAAATGATTGTGAACCTTTTGCAAATGCGGAAAATGTTTGCACCGAAACCCATCGCTGGCTCGTTGGATTTTCATTTGGGCTGTTATTGTTGGGCAATGGGACAACGATCATGGGCCACGGAAGGTACAACGTATGTGACATATGCAAGAAGTGCACAAACCATAGAAATTGAGGTGGCTCTGATCGCGGAGAGCGCTCGACGATTTTTGGTCAATGCACCGGTCAATGGGCTTCATTTGACCTGGTCGNAGTTACTGCCTATTCACATCAGCGGTTAATTGCAAGCACAGTCGACATTAGGATTATAAATACTTATTTCAGTGTTTTCAAAGGAGTTGGGCATCTTTCTTCCATAAGTACTTTAGAGTAATTAATAGATGATCTTTTTCACAAAGCTTATCACTATAATACGTGGGTTGTATGGAACGTCGAGTGTGCTGATGTGCACACACTATTATCCTCGTACTAACTAACTGAACAAATACAATGGCGATTCAGAGNTGAATTCAAGGAAAACATAAACCACAAGCAGTAGATTGCACTTTGGTTCTAGTCCCTCAAAGTTACCTGATTATCAGAAGTAGGAAAGCTTCTGATATGCTACACATTCCAGTCGGAGTTTGTTTGTAGTAAGAGTATCGAAATCGTTTCAACTTACATCCATATCCGCAGCGTTGTTATAGTATTTTATTTTACTGAATCATCTCTTGTCTCTTTTAGTGGACCAATTACTTCTTATATGTGTATCATTCCTCGTCTATGACTCGATTCGTGTTCATCAAGTAAAAAAGTGAATACCATCTACGTTCCATCTGGAATGGCTTTAGATAACTTGTTTATTAGGACGCTTTGCTTTAAAAACACTTAGTTGTTAGTGAGAATGAATTCTGTGGACGTGATAAGTTTGATTTAACAGGCGCAAGACAATATGCGTGTCTTCTGGTGTTTGAACAAAAAGTCTAACGACATTCATGGGTAAAAGGTTGACTATGATGCTCTTTCACTGACTCTAAATGGTACATCTTGATGGTACCTTGGAAGACGTGATTCGCATCGATTGAAGAAAACATTTTGATGTGATTTATAGCAAGAAGAATAACAATATACAGGTTTTTTGCCAACCTTTGAGCGGAACGTTAAATGACTCTATGTTCGCGATTAACTGCAATGACTGATCAGCCAAATCGGATAGACAAAGGGTCATCCACGATGGTTAACGCTCTGTTCTCACAGTTTTGGTATGAAGATTTTAGCATTCAGGAGAGCATTCCTGACCAAAGAGTGAAATTAAAGTGGACCGATTATATTACCAGTGGCCATACGTGAGATGTTAAAGGAATGTGAAAGCATTAGTGAAGAGAATTTGCGAAAACGTTTTCTTCGGTACACTTTGCCACATCGTTGAGCATTGCCCTGATTCCCGGAAAATCAATGAATTGGTTATTGCGTTGCCGTCGAAGCCGTTAGCGATCTTGTTCACATGAAATAACTAGCCATTTTAGTTTCATGCACTGCTGATGAGACTGAACCACGTCGAAACAGTTGTCCAGTGAATCTTGATTTTTCTGTTCACTCTTCATTTGCTCTATGCACTACGAATGCCCTCTATAAAACCTGTAGTATTTGAATCCTGATAATAATCGGTCAGTCGCTATTATTCAGGGAATTTCAACCGGAAGTGCGAACAAAAATTGGGTACGTGATGAGGAGGAATAATACCTAGTCAAGTTAGATCGAATTTTACTATAAATACCTATTTATTCCTGAGTTGGGTATCTAGGACAGCTGAGGCCCAGGTGATGTGATGTGATGTTCACACGGAATTCGACTGACCGTGTAAAACTCTGATCTGTGAGAATAAATCTGTTTGGTACATTTTCCCCTTAGCTGATGTGTGACTGGATGATCATAATGAAAAACGCACTCTGTAATATTGCTTTTTGTTTTATATTCCTCTGTAGAGACAAATTTTGGAGAGTTTGAACTACGAACTTATTCGGTGTGGAGAAGGTGAGTCCCGTGCTAATCCTTGTCATTGGGGGCGCTTGGCGATGGAAGAGTCAAAGGCTTTGCAACAGTGTCTCTTCGGCTTGCGCAAACAGTAATTTCATGTATTCAAAATCGGTCAAAACTACAGTGCATAGCTGAATACTTCTGTACGTGCTCTGATCGCTATGCTTTCATTCTCACTCTCTGTTTGCTTCTCTATTGATTTGTGCTCTACGCTTATATCATTTGACAACTGTTGATGTCTTGGCGTCTAAACATTTGTCTGTCTCTTCATCTTGTTTTCCAACCTATAACTGTGAAAGTTACATTACTGTTTTACTTTTAAAATACTGTTCGTGTTTTATTCATCCGACGACTCTGTTCTCATATTTCACATACTGACCTGGGCTGTGCAGTCCATATGTCGCATCCTAACAAGGGGTGACCGAAAATGACTGCGCTCAAACCGGATAACCAAACATGTGTGGAACGGTTGCAGGTAGTTGACAGACCAAGTCTAGTCCATTGGATCATTTGTCTCAGTGTGCATGGTGAAATCTAGTGCTGCGTAGCATCATATGCGAACTTCGGTTAGGGTTTTGTTGAACATGAAGACCACATAGTAGCACTGATCATTCAATATCGAAACAATGTGATCATGCTTCGTTTGGAAGTACATTATGGGTTCTACAGTTTCAACAAGACCAATACTATGTGCGACTGTGACAATTTGCAGTCTCAGTAATTGGTATAGCTTTGTTCCTGTTATGTCGGCAATTTGTTATGTTTTGCGCCGCGTATATCCGTTACCTACTACTAGGTCGCACAGCGCTATATCGCAGGAGAACACCACAAGTGCAAAGAACACAAGATATAGCACAGTAACAATTGTAGCACACGCGAAACGAGAACAGCGGACCAACACTAAGTCCGTGAGCGGATGATAGTTCAGGGAGCGGACGCTACCTAGGTTAACACGGGATGCACGGTCGGCTATCAATCTCTCAGGCCTCCCAAACACCCGAGAGAGAAGACACGGCTTCGGCAGCACGAGATTTTAATGGCGTTGAGCAGAAATCACAAGTAACGAGTATTGCGTCACAATTCAATTTACAAGTTCACTCTGCAGCTTATATTTGACTGAAAATAACATTGATCAATGCAGGGGAAAAATGTACCTATGAAATTCACAGTGAGCAATGTTCAAACGGTCATAAGCTGCGAATCAGACGAAAAGAGAGAGTGAATATTATCGTATGACGCAATATTATTGATTTATCTCCGCGAAATTAGTATTGATCCGAGAGGACCCAACTTGGGTCGAATGTGTTGTAAATTTTTTTGATTTTTGCTCACTGAATCAGCAAGTGTGCGGCCGGGCTTAACTTGGGACGAATGGCATTGATCTTCGTCCCAACAGTTCCCTAGTTTTAATCAAACAAAGTTGTAGTGGTTTATGAAAACATTGCATTTTCGAGTACACATTAAGCCCCCGTTTGAAGCCCATAGGGTTCTTATCCCACCTACGCACGACTTTAATCCATATACATATGGACAAAATTGAGTGGAATGTTTTCGTGCAATTTCGATTTGGATTCATGGTCGCTGAGGTTGTGACACTATTATGCTAATAGTATATGGATCTCGCACCTTACGGGTTCGGGATCACCAATGGGTTAATGATGCGTTTTATTTACCGCGGAGCAACGAGTATTGGCAAAAACATGCATTGTGGAGCTGGTTTATTAATAGATCTCTGTTGGCAAGGTATTCACAGTCGAAAATATAGCTCAGGATTAGACGTGTTTACCCAGTAATCTCTGCCGAATGAAGACATCATACACAATTGACTAGTCCCAACCGGTTCGGAACAACTGTCCACAGTTCAGTTTCAACCAGCGCACTTGACATTCCGTCAAGAATCAACACATGTTAGTCTATCATTGATCACAACAACGATCTTATCCAACTTCGGACAGTTTACTGAACTTACACAACGTATCTGTTCCGTTCTAACACCAGAGAACAACTTTAATTATCTTATTTTGGAACAGATGTGATAAACATTGACATATTCACTATCATAAATGACACGAGAACATCTGTCGATGCAAAACACAAAACAATGTCTACGGGGACCTCCTTCACGTGCGTTATTCTCAACAGGTTCCGAGTGAAAAATTTGACTGGAAACACTCACACAACCGAAATATCTCAGTGTCTTACGTGGTGGTAAATGGGGAACTAAGCGCATACCTTCTTATTAACAACGCGTTTGAGGCACAACAAATTTGCTCGGAAAACCTCAAATTTACCCGATGTATACCATGCGAGCTTTTGACACTGAGGAAAGTGTGCTAGATGGAAACGCGTATTGTGAATTAAATGGAGTGTTCGTCCTATGCTCGCAAATTATGCAGAGTCAACGTTACGGTTAAGAGGAGGGATAACCTTAACGTCAATTTGCATAGAGTAGTAGTAGAGTATACTGTATGTTGAATATGAATGGATAAAATGATAAACATTCGATAACCTGTCATTAGAAATTTCAAAGCTTTCTCTAACATGTAAGGGAGTAAAGGAAAACGTTTGCGGATGCACAAAGTGTGCATTTCACTTTCTCAAATCATTCTGCATCAGCATTCATGCAAAGTTCAATGCACTCAAACCGTCTGGTCGATCACTTCAACGATAACCGCCACTGCAGTCGTTGGTGACTCATATCGAATTCCACGCATTATGCTCCTGACATTTGGAAACAATGATTCTTGAGGGTGCCTTATCCCCAAAGGTAGCTGGCAAACGATCAATACTTCGCTACTGCCGGTGCTTTAAGCCACATTTGTAGTCTTAGAGAACGAACGGCCTCTAGTGACATCAACTGAGTTAAATCTTCACAGTTCCAGTGTAGCGACCCTTATGACTTGTGAGCTGATCTCGGCTGTTTATATTTAGTTCTGTCAGTTACAGTCACTGAAAGCTTCACGTTTGCCCGGTGCGTGAATCTGCACCTCGTAAGTGTACTACTTATCCGGAAACGTTTTTTTCAGTTCTCGTAAGACATTTCATTAACCCCGTAGATGTTAACTTGCAATCACTTGTGGATAGTACTGCAGAAAAAGTGCTGATGAGTTCACCTGATTATCTTGAAAGTTTCACCTCCAAACAAAACTATCAGTTCATTCAAGAACACAAACACTCCGGAACAACTAGAATGAAACATTTCACTAACCTGCCCGAAAATTCAACTGCGAACTCCTCAGATGGAAGACATTTCTGTTGCCATGCG